ATAAAGAGAACTTAAGAAAAAAAGTATGAATATTAATGTCTAAGAAAATGGAGAAGATACTACTGACCAATATCATTTTATTAAGTCACACCACCACTTGACCCTCTGAGGATAAATGTGGGTTTTCTCTTAATCATGTGCAATAAACTTCAATCTTCCACTTCGAAGTATAGATACACTCAATAGACGAAGATTTCCTTTTAACCATTCTCATTAGCCAATATCTTCACAGTATACTCTCCATTGACTGTTGACATCCACTTAAAGTCTTGGAAAGCTCTATTGCATCATTGTTCGGAGAGAATACATAACTCACAGTGCTAGAATAGTTAATCTAATGGGTTTCTCCCCCTTTACCTTAGTCCAATTTCTCTTCCTTCTCATCCCCTCCCTTGTTCATCCCTCCCGTCCGACCAATGGCATCATAACAGACCAATCAGCTCTTTTAGAATTCAAGAAAGGAATTGTTGCTGATCCACAAAGTTCTCTTAGTAACTGGAACAAGGCGAATCATGTCTGTGAGTGGAAAGGTGTAACTTGCAGCACAGAATCTGGAAGAGTAACTGAGCTTGATCTCAAAGGTAACTATCTTCAAGGAACTATCTCCCCATTTCTCTCAAACCTTTCTGTCCTCGAGTTACTTGACTTGTCTGATAATTCATTTCAAGGTCCCATTCCAGTGGAGCTTGGGACTTTGTCTAGGCTAGAGTTACTTAGTATAGCTGGGAACAGTGTGCGATATGAAATTCCTGAGAGTTTTTCAATGCTCTCGGAACTTCGTTATATCAACTTGAGAAATAACCGGATTCAGGGCAATCTTCCCACCTCTTTATTCTACAACTGCACTCAACTGAGCTATATAGATCTTTCCAACAATTCATTTACTGGTGTCATTCCTTCAGAAATCGGAAATCATCTCCTTTACTTGGAGAACCTTCTTCTTTATTTAAACCAACTATCAGGTTACATTCCAGTTTCGCTTTCCAATTCAACACAGATGGTAGAGATTGATCTTGAGAACAATTTCTTTAAAGGCACATTACCCTCAAACATTTTGATGCATATGCCTTCTCTTGAGATACTTCATCTTTCTTACAACAATTTCTCAAGTGATGAGCATAATTCCGATCTCAGCTACTTCTTTGATTCAATTGCAAATTTGACTCATCTAAAGGAGCTTGAGCTTGCTGGAAATCATCTAGGAGGTGTACTACCTTCAACATTAGGCCTCCTCAGTGTCAACATTTCACAAGTATATCTCCAAGACAACTTCATATATGGAGCAATCCCATCAAATATATCAAACCTTTCAAACTTGATGGAATTGAATCTGTCAGACAATCTTTTGGATGGAACAATTCCCTCGAAAATTATTCTCTTACCCAGGTTACAAAGGCTATGGTTATCCAACAACCTACTATGTGGTGAGATTCCATCTCCTCCTGGTGTTCTAAATAATCTTGGACTGTTAGACTTATCAAAGAACAAACTTTCTGGTGCAATTCCTCCATCTCTGGGAAATCTGATTCAGCTCAGGACCCTTGTTCTTCACAGCAATTTGCTCTCAGGGCCCGTTCCACAAAACCTAGGAAATATGAAGTTAGAGCTCCTTGACTTGTCTCACAATAGGCTAACAGGCAACATACCAGTAGAAGTTGCAAGCTTGTCCACGATGGAAATATACTTCAATTTGTCGGATAATTTAATTGGAGGAATACTTCCAATGGAGCTAAGCAATATGGACAAAGTATCAGCAATTGATCTGTCTTCTAATCTTTTCAGCGGCAACATTCCTCCGAACCTGGGTAACTGTGAAGCAGTTGAACTATTGAATCTTTCTCACAATCGGCTTGAAGGACAAATTCCTGTGTCCTTAGGAAATCTACTAAGCCTCCAATCTTTAGATCTCTCCTCCAATTTCCTTTCAGGGCTAGTCCCAACCTCACTTCAGAAGTGCAACAGTCTTAAGAAACTTAATCTCTCATTCAACAATTTCAGTGGCGCCCTACCAAAAGGTGGTATATTTGATTCATTAACAATTGAATCAGTTGAAGGAGACCATCTCTGCGGATCACTTCCAGGAATTCCCATCTGTGATCATAGGAAGAGAAGCATGATACACTCTCACACATTCTTGGGCATTCTAGTAACTGTAGTATCTGTCTCAGCATTTTCTCTGACAATCATATCTGCTCTAGGCTACCAGAAATTCATCAGAGCTGTATTACTTCGAACTGATAGTGGCGTTTTGAATACATCTGCAATTGACCTGTCAACAAGTTACCCAAGAATAACTTATAGAGAACTTGTGGAGGCCACAGGAGAATTCAACCAAAGCAGACTAATTGGCTCCGGAAGCTTTGGGCATGTCTACAGAGGGGTATTGAGCGATGGAAGTGTAGTTGCAGTAAAAGTTCTTCGGATACAATCTGGAAACTCCACAAGAAGTTTTAACAGAGAATGCCAGATTCTGAGGAGGATTCGGCACAGGAATCTGATGAGGATTATAACAATCTGTAGCCTTCCTGACTTCAAAGCCTTGGTGCTCCCTTACATGTCTAATGGGAGCTTAGAAAGCTATCTACACCCAGAGGAGTGGCATTCTGGTTTGCAACTGGGCTTCATGGAAAGGGTGAACATTTGCAGTGATGTCGCTGAAGGGATGGCCTATTTACACCATCATTCTCCAGTTCAGGTCATCCACTGTGACCTGAAACCGAGCAACATTCTCCTTAATGATGACATGACTGCTCTTGTGTCAGACTTTGGTATTGCTAGACTGGTCATGACAACAGATGAAAGAACTATGACGGCTGAAACTGCAGGCAACTCAATGGCTAATCTCCTATCTGGGTCAATTGGCTACATTGCTCCAGGTATTATTTTGTTTCTTGTCAATGCGCTTTGATCAGCCTAGTTGAATGTATAAGCATATCCATAGTTCAGCTGATTGTACTATATCAGTTTCTAAGCCTAGTCTATTAAAGAAATTTCTTTTACGAAATGTTAATACAATCTCATGCGGAATATCTGTTTGCATGTGAATCATCTAGAGTATGGATATGGTAGAAGTGCATCCACAAAAGGAGATGTCTACAGCTTTGGTATTCTTGTGCTTGAAATTGTTACAAGAAAGAGACCTACAGATGACATATTCAATGAAGGTCTAAGCTTGCATAGATGGGTGAAGAACCACTATCATGATCAGCTCAGTAAGGTCGTTGACTCCTCCTTGATGAATAACATCAGGGGTCTGAACCCAGAAATAAAAAACATGTGGGAAGTTGCAATCATAGAGCTACTTGATCTAGGACTTCTTTGCACCCAGGATGCACCTTCAAACAGACCAACAATGCGAGATGCTGCTGATGATTTAGACAAACTAAAGCATTACCTTGGAGTTGATACAACCGCGACATTTACTTCAGCCCATGGAGTTTCATCCTCTACTATTACAGCAGGTGATTCTTGGTAGCCTTAAAGTCATTATGTACAATTTTTTTTCATGAAACTAAGTGGTTATGTTCGTAAAACTAGTAGCAAACATAAGATTTAGAATAATGGCTTGCAAATTTCATGATGTCAGAGAGGGAGAAAAAACATAGAAAGAATTAGAGGAACTAAATGTTAATGTTGTTATTTTTGTTGGCCCAAATAAGTTGGCACGTTACAATGTGGCCCAGCTACCCACTAGATTTGTCCTAGCCCCCTCTATTCCTCTCTTCATACCCGATGGTACTCAATCCTCTCTGTCGGCCGCCCTCTCTCCATTTCGTGTCCTTCGATGCCTCCGCTTGGAGTCTCATCTCCTATCCCTGTAGCACGGCTCCTACCCCTCGATGCCCTAGCCCATCCTCCTGTGTCGGCTGCCCCCTTCTCTTATTTAAGGAGAAGGGTTGGTAGTAGCTCAGTGGTGGGAAGAAGAGGGAAGGAATAAGATACCTTAGTCTTTGTGCCCTAGCTTGTGTGCGATCCCCACCCTTATCTGAGCTTTGTGCTCCTATGAGTTTGTGCTACTGTGAGCTTTGTGCTCTCACCCCTTTGTGCGAATCCCCTTTCCTCTTTGTGAGTGATTTAAGGTGAGAAGATCAGTGGGCTCCCCTTTGTGTTCTTGGTGGTGCACTGTGAAGGAAGAACAGGACTGATTTCAGCAGGCTTCTGAGCCAAACAACAGTGACGACAATCCTCAACAGTGGTATCAGAGCAAGGTTGCTGGCTTTATTTTTCGGGTGACTGGTTCTTTATTTTCGCTGCGTTTAACTGCTGAAGTTAATATCTGCTTGTGCTCGTGTGAAAGAACAAAGAGATTGAAACAAGAACTTTGTGTTCATCGTTCTTCTCATTTGTTCGTTCTAGTTGCTTCACACGTTTCGAGCCGGATAATTACCGAAATTATCGTGCTATTTGCTGTTTGTTTTTCTATGTGAAAATTGTCTACTGCTAATCAATATAGTATGATTCAATATGGTATGACTCCGTTCAACGGATAATCTGATTTTAGCATTTGGAAACAAAAATTAAAATGCATTTTAATTCAACAGAAGTCTTTTAGGGCTGTTGGTCAGACTTATTTAACTTCTGACAATGAAAATAAACGGGCGGAAATGAACGAAAATGATTGTTCCACAATTTATTTGAACTTATCTCTCTGTGATTATAAAAGTTAGAATTTTGGAAACCTCTTTGCCCAGTAAAATATTTTTGTTTGAAAATTTTTTAAAATTTAGATTGGATATGTCTAAGGATATTGAGGAGAACCTAGATGTTTTCACAAAACTTATTTCAGATATTAAGTTAACTAGTGATAAACATATAGACGACTACACTCCTATTGTCCTTCTAAATGCTATTCCTGACTCATAGTGATGTGAAATCTGCTATTAAGTATGGTAGAGATGAGGTTACCCTTGACATTATGGTCAATGGTCTTAAGAGTAAGGAATTAGATTTAAAACATTCTGGGGGAAATAATAATTCTGGTGAGGTTATGCATGTGAGGGGTAGGTCTCAGAATAGGTCTAATAACCAAAAGAATGCTAGTAATGAGGAATCAAGTAAGAAAATATTCAAAAATGAAAGGGGTAGATCTAAGTTTAGGTCTAAAGTTAGAAGATGCTATAACTATCATGAAACCGGTCACTTTATTAGAGATTGTCCTAAGCCTAGGGAAATCAACAAAATGATCATACTAATATGGCTGTCTGTGAGGGCGAAATGGGTAAAATTTTCATGATTAATAATCTGTGTGATTATGCATATTTGACCTCTGTATTATCTGATTCTTTGTGTAAATCAGATTGGTTAGTAGACTCTGGTTGTACTTTTCATATGACTCCTTTTAAAAACATGTTTTCAAACTACAAGAAAATAGAGAATGACTTTGTGTCAATGGCAAATGAAAAGAAATGCAATGTTTTAGGAACTGGTAATGTATGCCTTAGGTTTTCTTCTGGTTCTGTATTTACTTTGAAGGATGTTAGGCATGTTCCTGATTTACGTTATAATTTGATTTCTTGTGCATCTCTAGAAAATGATGGTTTGGAGGGAAAATGGGGTAAAGGGATTATGAAAATTTTGAAAGAGTCTCTTGTTATTTTTACTGCTGAAAAACAAAATAACTTGTATGTTTGTCATGCTGAACCTGTGCTTGATTCTGTTAACTCTATGATAGGTGATAAATCAGTTTTCTGACATAATAGATTAGGTCACATCAAAAATAGAGGATTAGAAATTTTGCATGAAGGTAGTCACTTTGGTAGTGACAAAGGATCCTCAACAGAGGATGAAAAATAATTTAAGGATTTTCGGGAGTGCTGGCTATGTGCATCAAAGGATTGATAAGTTAGAACCTAGATCTAAGAAATGTGTTTTCTTAGGATACCATGAAGGGGTAAAAGGTTATAGGCCTTGGAATAAGAGTGAACTGGGGTTTAAGGTAGTAATAAGTAGAGATGTTATTTTTAATGAAAATGAATTTCCTTGTTTACCTTTACCTGCCCCTATTTCTGAAAATGATGCTCCAAATGAGGTGGAGCAAATGCCTATTATTAATCAACCTGAATCACATCCTGAAGATATAATTATTGAAAATCAAGATGAGATTATTCCTAATGAGGTGGAGCATGATATGCAGGAAATAGATAACATGCATGATTTGAATGATTATCAATTCACTAGGTTAGGAAACTTGAGAGATATAGAGATTGCAATTTGATTGATTGTAATATGTCTGAGTTTGCCTTTAATGTGTTTGAATCCCTTGAGTGCAATGAACCTAAGACTTATAGGTTTGGTCCTTTGTGGACTTGGCATTGAATTTTGATTTTGGGTAATCTTTCCTTTGCTTTGTGTGTTGCCTTTGTGGCCTATTAACTTGCTTTGTGCTTGTTAGTAGCTTTGTGATTTTTTCCCTTTGAACTCGATGACCGTTTGGTAGAGTTCAGTCCTTTGTGAACTTGGTATGTTTGGTGATCTTACCCCGATCTTTGTGATCTGAGTTTACTTTGTGTATTCTCTCCCATTGCTTGTATCTTCTTTGTGATCATACAGGTAATGATTTGGCGATGATGAGTCCTGCAGTTCCGTGTTTTTCCTCTGTGCACTACCTTGGGCCAAAGGTGGAGATTGTTGTTATTTTTGTTGGCCCAAATAAGTTGGCCCGTTACAATGTGGCCCAGCTACCCACTTGATTTGCCCTAGCCCTCTCTATTCCTCTCTTCATACCCGATGGTACTCAATCCTCTCTGTCGGCCGCCCCCTCTCCATTCTGTGTCCTTCGATGCCGCCGCTTGGAGTCCCATCTCCTATCCCTGTAGCTCGGCTCCTACCCCTCGATGCCCTAGCCCATCCTCCTGTGTCGGCTGCCCCCTTCTCTTATTTAAGGAGAAGGGTTGGTAGTAGCTCAGTGGTGGGAAGAAGAGGGAAGGAAGAAGAGACCTTAGGCTTTGTGTCCTAGCTTGTGTGCGATCCCCACCCTTATCTGAGCTTTGTGCTCCTGTGAGTTTGTGCTACTGTGAGCTTTGTGCTCTCACCCCTTTGTGCGAATCCCCTTTCCTCTTTGTGAGTGATTTAAAGTGAGAAGATCGGTGGGCTCCCCTTTGTGTTCTTGGTGGTGCACTGTGAAGGAAGAACATGACTGATTTCAGCAGGCTTCTGAGCCAAACAACAGCGACGATGATCCTCAACAGTTAAGTGCTTATATGATTAATCAGAAAATGTGAGCAAGATATCAAGGATGACATCTGTGTCTATGTATTATACCAAAAGATAATTAATATTTAAGAATGAAGAGATTTCAGAATCTCCTGTTAATTCTCCTTCATTTCTCCTTCTTCTTCCAAATCATAACGAGTTTGTATCACCTCCAATAAAGCATTCTACTGATTCCCCTTTTTCCAATATATTCGTTATAATTGCTTAGATCGTTGGATCAGTTGTAACTAGATTGACTAACTTCAAAGTTTTTGCTTTTCACAAGTAGCTTTCAGTTTAAAATTATCTTGATGGAATGAATATTCCATGGCAAGATGTTAGTACTTCCTAGCCTACTTTCATCACAGTGGAGAATATCCATGACAGCTATAGTTTACTGAAATCAGTACTGAGCTCAGCAGGATGATACCCATTGCTACCTCCTCTATTTTTTGTATCCATTCTTAAATGAAATCACCCCCCACCCCAAAAGACCCGCACATCCAAAATAAAATCCTTCACCAAATAGACAGTTCCGGAAGTAGTAATTTTACAATAGCACCCCCAGTAGTTAGCAACATGAAACAGTAAAAAAAAGAAATGGAAAAGTTCTGAAGGACACATAAGGGAGATAGAAAAGCACAGGAATATGAAAAAATGTCTAATAAGATTAGGTTGTAGGTGATTAACGTATAACCAGTTATATTTGTCTTTATTTTAACCTATGGTTCTCATGTTTTATGTGCAATCATGCTAGATAAACTTTTAAAATAGGAATATTGTTATGGATGGTCCGAAGGTTATAATAGGAGAACAAGGTCGTGAGCAAATCAACCTACAACATTTTTCTTTTTTCTTTTTTCCCCTCACAAGTAGTTTTCATTAAGAGAAAATATGAGTAAAAGTCAAAAGGAAAAAAAGCACACAATGATATATCTTTTATCGCAAAAGCATAAGAAGATGAGAATCAATGCACATTAGAGACTTTAAAGCTTTTCTGCTGAACACAGTTTTTTATATACATGTAACGTGATCACAATGTACATCATTACAAAAAAATGAAAAGTTGTATGATTAACAAAGTATTATGGTTCCTTCGCCGTAGTAGATCAAGAATAGGTAGTGTTGCCTGAGATGTACCAGCATGGAACAATTAAATCGAAAAGAATAGCATTGCCTGTTGGTAAAAAGAGACATCAGAAAGATATACAAGAGAAAGCATAACCCAACAAAAGTCCTTTACATGGAAGAATATTGCATTAAAACGGTAAATATTATGAATGTAAGATTTCATTCAGTAAGAAGGTTGATTTGCACACTATATTTTCAGAAGAAGTTTAGCTTTACTGGTTTAAGAAACACTAGGGAACCAAATAATTTGTTTTTTTCCTGGTTTGTTTATAGAAAGAAGTAACTGAAAATAGAGCGGGAAGAAAAAGAAAAAAAAATGGGAGAACTTTGACATATATAGACTCTCCCTGAAGACATGAGATTAGAATAGATGCAGTGAAAATGCAAGAGGTACGTGATTTTTGGATGGTTCCAATTGATCTGATTAGAGAGAACATGATTGATAACGTGTTTTAGTAGTATTAAACTGCAAATCTCGGATTTGATTAGTAGATGATAAGTACCTCCATGACCGAGACTACTTTGGAGTCATCATGTGGAGAGTGCTTTTTGGATGCCGACCTTTTTATAAGTTTTTCTATTGTGTCGAGCTGCTTGAATATATTCCTCAACAATGTCAACTGTTCTTTGCATCTTTCAGTATCTTCCTGCATTACAGTTCTTTCTTTTTCAAAATGCTTCAGGCAAAGTTTTAGCTGTTCAAAATCCATCTGAGAAGTACCAATTTCTTCAGCCTCAGGGTCACTAAGAGTCCAATTATAACCAAGAGAGGTTACTTTACTTGGTGTAGACAATTTGCTTCCATGCTGCAATGAAGGTGCTTTTCTAGGTGGAGCCAACTTGTTCCCATAATTTACATTTGTGAATTCTTTGTTCAACCAGTCATCGCCTCTAGGAAAGCAGTCCATAGATTCTTGTGGCATTAGATTAGGCATCCCTAACATGATACTGTCACTATGAACTGGTGCTTCAAAAACATGGTTACAAGGATGGTTAGGTTTACAGTCTTTGTGGATGTCTGAGATTTCAAATATGTCATGTAGACTTGCAGGGTGGACTGTGTTTCCATTTGATTCAGCTTCCAAACAAGAACTAGTAGCCCCAGCAGACTCTGGTGCACTCTCTGAACCTCTAACTTGAGAAGGTAAACATGAAACAGCTCGATTATCTAACTTCTTCCGGAGACCTCCTGACTTTGACTCAAAAGATGTGCCACCACTTGCTGCTGAATACCATGAACATGAAGCAGACTCTTGATCTGAAGTCATAAAGTCAATAGATGGAGGCTTGAGGACTTCAGTAGTAGCTACATCCAGAGGAGACATAGCTTCTTCAGTGTTTTTGGCCTGCATTAACTCTTTCAACGTATTGTTTATTTCCTCAGCTTGTTTCCACAGATGCTCGTGACTTTCTACTATTCCACATTCATCACATTTAGTGTGCATCTCAGAGCACAACTGGTCCAACTGAAAAAGAGATGGCAAGGAGGTGTTCTTTCTAAGAAAACCATGAAAGTTTTTCTTGTCTGTAAGGGCATTCTTTCTGGTAAAAGACCATTCCTCAGATATGTTGATTTGTCCATCAGCTGGTGTTTTGATGCCATGGCTTGCTAGTTTCTGCTTACAAATCTCAAGCTCATACATGAGTGATGAAATTTCCATTTCATTCTCCTGAATAACTTCTTCAAGGATCTCCACACTCTCTTCGGCATGATGCATTTTCTCCTCCGCCATTCTCCTGTATTGACACAATTCCATCTTCTCAGCAGCCTTTTCCCTTTGAAGCCGAAGAATCATGGATAAAGCTTCACTTGCTGCACTAGCTGAGGCCTCTCTTTCCTCCTCTAGTTCAATATAGAGATTCTTCATAATTATATATTGATTGCAAAGAGCTTCTTTCAAAGCAGTAATTTCAAATTCAGCCATAGCTAAAGATCAGCCAGGTGCAATGATAACCCTACAGAAAAAACCAGAAACAAATAGCTCCGACTTGTGTCACTACCCCCATAATAAGTTTTCCTACAAATAAATAAATACTTTCCCTAATGACTTTTGTGATGCACTACAAAGCATTTAAGGCCTCCGAATCCACATTCAGAAAATAGTTATCATAATCACTTGTGATACATCATTAGACAGCAATGACTTCCATACAGTTGCAAAACATCTTAAAAAGGAGGAAAATACATAAATCGTTCACAACAAAATTCCCTAAATAAATTACTTTCCTAGGACAAAAATATTCGCCGAGGCATGAAGATCTCACATGTGAATATTGAATTAGTCAGGAGAATTTAAAAAGAAAAATCCTAAGTTAAATTATTGTGTTACAGCAGCCTTCTCTGAAGAAATGCTTGGAATAATGAAGGGGATAATCCTAAGAAGATTTATTGATTTAATCCTTTTGCACAAAAGATAGATTCTTGCACATAAAAACGAAAACTTTTTTCCTAATCACCTAAAGTTCTCGATTTTGGAATTGGCGTTTTGCTAGATAGTAAATATACCATTCTAATTAAGCAAGGAAAAAAAAAAGAACAGAAACCTAGAATCCAAAGAAAACAAAGAGGGAGGTTGAATTGTACCAAATCAACAGCCCCAGAGCACAAGGCTGTTCGGGGTCTCAAAATCCTGTACAAATAAATAAAGAAATAAATTAGGAAGTAGAAATTAAACAATAAAATGAGAATTGTTGGATAGAATGTTAATGAGGAGCCGACCTTTCTTCTTCCTCTTCCTCATAAAGCTAACTCCATGGTTTTGCTTTTTGTGGCAAGTTTCTGGTTACCTACAAGAGAGGAGAAATTTTCGAAAAAAACAAAACTAGAGATAGAAATAAAAGGGGGGAAATCAAACTTTTTAAGAATTAATAATGTTCGGTGAAAAATTAGAACGGTTTTAAAATAAAATAAAAAAAACTCTCGCCTTCTCCAAACCCTTGATTCCCGCTCGCCCTCTCTATGCATTTCCCTTGTGAAATTTCGCCGTTTTTTAAAGAGAATTAAAAATAGAAAGCATAGAGCTTCGCTTTTGTTATGTGTACTCAAAACCAATGCAATAATGGTACACGCAAAGCACGTGAATAATTTGTAATAAAAAAATTTCTTAAGGAACCAAAATATGGTACCAATAAATATGACAAGTGAGGTGTCTCCCTCCTATTGGATAATGAGTTGGTCATCATTAATGATGACCAACTCATTATCCAATAGGAGGGAGATACCTCACTTGTCCCCTCTATTGGTCTCATATTTTGTCCAGGTATGTACAAATTATATGCGGTAAAATTATTCGGATTAATTGTGGATAGACCCCTCGTGGTATCACATAATTTCCTAATGGCCCCTTGTAGCTTTATTGGTGCAGTTAGATCCCCAATTGCGGATAGATCATCTTGGTGAAATTTTTGACTCTTTTAAAAGCTTTAAAATTGAAAATAATAATAATAATAATCGGGGTCTATCCACACCAATAGACCTACGCAGTGTCTATTTGCTTTATAAAACATTTTTTTTTTCTTATGTTAAGAGAACAAAATCCACTCTGCACAATTATATCGGTAGGGGTCTATTCGCAATTGATCCTACAAAGGGTCATCCATAATTATCACTTAATTATTAATACGAATTTATATTGCTAGCTCAAATGCGAAATGCTTTTGTCTATTTGTTTATGCTGACCTAGTTTGAATCACACTTATTACATGTTTGGGCTCTACATTGTACTCATATACAGTAGGCACCATGGGATCCACTTCAGGAATTATTCATTGAGCTATAAATGAACACTCTAAATTGTCAATAATTTTTTGGGAAAAATAACAAAAGGATTCACATAAATGTTGGCATGTGCGTGAATGATCCACCTTTTTATGTGCATGATTTGAAGTTTCAACCAAGGAAAGAGATTTCCTCATTGAGCTATAATTAAACAAAAATTATTTATGCCCTTAATTAAACACTCTTACTCGAAGACTAGCAACCTGATTTTGCACTTTAATTATATGACTGAAAGATGGAAGCAAAAAATGCATCAAGTATCTCCGATAATTCTGGATCGCAGGCTCAATAATATATAATAAGTCGTTTAACAGTGAAATGAATTTAGCTGAGAGTTTCATCTATCCTTTGTTGTTCCTTTTTTCACAAAAGATGCAAGTTTTGTGCCTGAACTTCCCATTATCTTGAAGGAGCTCTCTGAACAAGAGTGAGGACTACTAGCAAGTAGGAGTGTATTCAATCCGGTTACGGCTCTTATATAGTACTTATCATATTCATATCCGCTTACTCATTACGAATACGAATACGGTTATGGGTATACCTCAGTAAAGAAAATTTATATCCATATCTGCTAAAATCTAATAAGGATATGAATATACATGCGAATATATAAGCGGATTTACATGTAGATAAAAAACGGTTATATGAAAACTAGATATATTGAAAATATATATATATATATAGTTCATGTGATACAAAAAGGTTCATTAATATGTTTGTTATAGCTAAAAAGCTAAGATTAGACATCTTGATCATCAAAATTAACCTCAAACGACCATCAGAATTAACCTCAAATCTATAATCTAAGGATTAAAACTATTGTAACAATATGACCAATATGTATTTGGATATTTCGGATATCACTATAAAACCATATTTGTAACCATATTTAATCAGTTGTAGATTTGAGTAATCATATCTGTATCCTAATGGATACAATTATGGCTATTTCGTCAAATACGGATACGGATATAGTTTAGCACACCCCTACTAGCAAGCATTTAACTTGGGGAGGTACAGCAACACTAAAGCATATAATCATACGACATATTAGTATGATTCCCACATAATGCAAGTAATGTATTATTAATTGTTCATAGAATTATTACAGAGAGCACAATAATTATTTTTAATATTCCAATCCAAAAAGATAAAAATGTCGTGTTTACCTCATCATTCATCCAAAATGCAAAAAAGGGGGATGGATTGTGACATTGTGTTTTCTGCAAAACAGACAGGAAGTCAGATGAGCACCTATTCTTACTCTGTCCCTGTGACCGAGTCAGTCTGGAGGCCATTTCCTTAGCAGATTATCCATGAACATGCTTCCGGCTGATTATCTGCATGAAAATTTAATTTCTAACGGCACTTTTATGTTAATAAATAACGACAGTTCTCGTAAGCTACGGATAGTTCTCTTTCCTGCTTCCCATTGTGTTTCCGGGGAGCAAGAAACAACAAGTTCTTCGTTGAGAAAGAAACGTCACCGATTAAGCTGGACAGGAAGTTCAACCAGGAAGAGAGCTCCGGCTCTGAGGAAGTGGCGAAGGAAAAAGGTATCGTGCGCGCGTATTCGCAACGAAGAAGAAGGCGGAGGAGGAAACTTCTAATCCTTCGTCAAGTAGTAGTTTTTCTCTTGGGATCGATTTTCATGGATGTTTTCGTCAAATGCGTCCAATTTTGAGATAACTTCGGTGAAATGAGGAGGAGTGATGCTTTGGAGGAGGGATGTGAATGCCAGATGCTCAGGTTCACAGGAGGGAATATAAAATGCCATAATAGCATCGATATTTCAGTATAGTAATGTCGTAACGAAGGAGCTTAATAAAGAAGACACGAGGTGAAATTATGTTTTAAGATTTCAAAATTAAACTGGTGCAAGATGAAATTTTGGAAATCAAACTCTTAAAACGCGTAAATTACTACTTGAGTAATCAACTTGACGATTTTTCCTTTTTTATAATTACACTTGGAAAAATGTAACATCTCACCAAATTAACTTCCCCTTAAGACATACCGAGCCAGTCGCTACTAGATCAAGACCCAATCCCCATGTGCCTCCAAGGAAAACAGTGGGGCCCACCATTCCGTTACATTCGGCGCGTATTCGCCACGCAGCGGGCAGAGGCACGTACCCGCGCCCCGCTCTTAAGCTGTACCCCGCGCGTGCATCCGATCTGACCTCGTGTTTTCTTCTTCAGGAACCGGCTAACTAAGTCGTACCTTCGGCTCTCTGTAGCTTTGACGTGTAGTCACGCTTGTCCTTTTGGACTCCGTCAAGAGGGGCAGCCGTTGGCCGCGTCGTCGATGAGATTAGTAACGCTTCTTTAGCCCTTAATTACATTTTTTATGTCCTAATTATGAGGAGTAGAGGGATTAACGGTTCGTTCTGCTCACCACCACTGAGGCAATTGATGCGGAGCAAGAGTTGACCCCCTGCTAGCTTGCGGGGAGGTGAGCTTAAGCGCGGTGACCAGACTAAATGGAGTTTTCTCCTGCGCTAGCGCCCTTTTTTCTCAAACTTTAAACAAAACAAAAGTTTGAGAAATATGTTAGTTTCGAGACTTTTCCTCTTTTAAATAGAGACTTTTGATCGAGTTCTTGCGGAGAGTCGCTGATCGCTGCGATCGCCTCCTGTGACTCTTCTCCCACCCTTGCTTTGAGGTTCGCGCTTTCCCCCACGAATTCCGAGGTATGCCGCTAAATTAACTAGGGATTTCTGTGCGCACGAAGTTCTAGGAAGAAAAACCTAGACTTAAATCTTTGATTTTTGTCGTCTGAGGTTAGTTTCGAGGTTCGATTTTGTTCTAGCTCGTCTGATTTTCGTTTTATTTTATTTTATTTTATTTTGAATTTATAAGAATTATTTTTTTCGATGACTGTAGCAATTTAACGTGACTGACCTGAACTTTAGAAGCTAAAATCTGTAGATACTGTTGAGGATTTTTCTTGTTAAATATTTAGAATTTTCGAGGTTTTGTTTTGTCCTGTTTAATTTATCCGTGATGAAACCAAACAAAACCGTAGGCGATGGATCTTTACTAGATGTCAAAATCCAACTGACTTGGTTATAATTCTTAATGAGGTTAGTCCATGATCGGAGTTTTCAACGCCCTGCACGTGGATCTCATAAACAGCCAAGCTGCCAGCTTTTACCATAAATAGACAAAAATTTAAGGAATCAAAAGGTAAAACCCTAATTGGTCCTTTTACTATTTAACCCCAATTTAAGAGAGAAGGAGAGAAGAAGGCACGTTCATCCTTCGCTTTACAGACCAATGTCACTCCCGTGAGAAGGGCAGACGACAAAGAAAGAGAGAATTTATTATATGGCAGAGATAGCATTAAAATATTTGAAGAAGAACATGAATCCTCTTTCGGCTGTAGTGTTGGGATGCCCTCACACACATCTTGCTCCCTCTACAGTGAACCGGCAGCCTCCATCTTGTCTGCCCTCCTTGATACCATCCAAAGAAAAATCTAAAAAAGACACAAAACACCCTCTGTGGATTTGGGTTTCTTGTGATGAATTTGGACATTTCATCTCATACGGACACATGCATCGGGCTATTTCTCCTTTTCCATAGGTCTATGTCCAATGCATCTTTCATGGGTATCTCGAAAAAACAACAATCTCTTTTTTTCTTTTTGTGGATTAATGTAATTGTTTTTTAATCTTTTTAATGGACTTGGGTTTTCTCTGATGTTTTCATTACACCAGTTTGATATCAGATCCTGGATTGCTCAACTTTACAAAAGCTGACATTACTTTTTTAATTTCTCTGAATTATGTCGACTTTATACTCTGTAATGTTGTAAAGCAGCAATTCTCTTGAATTTGGGATGTATTCTGGGCAATTCATCTCTCTTATGGACTCTAGCACTGTGCTCGTGTTCTTCAGAGATCTCTCCTTGATGTCCTCTCACTCTTTGCGTAAGATTCATCAGCTAGGTTTATTCTTTTTCATCATGAAATTCTATTTTCCTTGTCCCTGCTGCCTTTCCCTTTTTGATGGGTTCACTATTCAGTATCCATTTATTTTGAATAGCTTAAATTATGTTATACTTTATCTCTTCTTTGTATTTCTTTATCTTGTAGAAAAAAAAATTGATTCTTTCATTTCTTTGTTCTCCATTTTGCGGTGGCTATCTTCTTTTTAGTGTGGTTAGATATGTCTCTTGATTTGTTGCTCCCAAGAAATTGAATTTCTGGTTCTTATATGTATTCACAATTGTATACCTTGTGTGCGTGTGTGTGTTCATTTTTTGTGAGTTCTTCGGTAAAACCCATTCTATACCTTTACCTTTTACTCCTTAATATGACCAAGTATTTATCTTTTGTGCGATGATTCGAACTTTAATGATTCAGATTTAATTTAAGTAACCAGTCTACTCTCTTTGTACATTTCAAGCGCTGCTGAATTTTTCTGTCTATAGGTATTCTACATATAGTGTTCTTTTCACGGGTTTGATGTTAATAAAGCATATTAAGTTCTTTCTGCTCTTTAGATAAACCAAATGCACTTTCTTTGCTGTTATAATGAAATTCTCCTGACCCTTGGTACGACTATTAAGTGCAGGTTTATGAGTCCATTGCGATTGGTGTAAGTGCAGAGTTCTATGAAGAAAACATCAACATGGCTTAATCCGGAAGATTCCAGGGATGGATAAGTGTACCTTGGAGCCTTTACAAACTGTAGCACAGCTGAAAAAAATCCAGAAAAATGGCAAACCAAGGCTGCCTTTGGCTCCTTCGGAGAAGCATAATTCTGGGCTTGTTTCCCGAAAACATCTGACTAGAGAAGTTGCTTCAAGATATAAGTCTGGTATCACAACAAGAGCTAATCCTAACACAAATCCTAGAAGATACCCATCTCCAGATGCTAGTCATCATTTCCCTACTACTGGAGCTTCACTTCCTGAGAGAGCTCAATCTGCTGAGAGAAGGCCCTCTACCTCTTCTTCAAGATCCTCTAGTCCTAACCGATCTTCAAAGCCTTCCATGTGCTTGTCTTCATCATCAAAGTCAACAACGCCAGTTAATGATTTCGCCATGGAGATGCACAATACCTCATCACGGTCCCTAGCTACACGTACTCTTGATGGGTTGTGGCCTTCTATTAGAAGTCTTTCATCTTCTTTCCAAGCAGAATCTTTTGCTGGTAAGAAGGATAGGATGGTTACCAATGCTTCTTCAGATCAAGCATTGAAGTCTTCTACCAATATGGTGACTGCGAGGAAAAAGACCCCTTTGGGAGGGAGGAACTCATTGGATCTTTTTGAGAATTCCAAACCTGTGGAGAATTCAACTACGAGACCCGTAGATAAAAAGATGTTGCCTGGAGTGATGGATGGGAAAGTGACCTCTACTAACTTGGCAAGAAGCGGAGGTATTTTTGATAAGGTTTCACAATCTGCCTCTTCGTTGATTTCATCGAGGGGAGTTTCACCAAGGAGAATGCCCATATCCAGAGCCATTCAACAGCCAAGAAATGAGATGGCCAGAAAAGTGTCCCTTAATGCGAGTGGAAGAGGAAAACACGATTCAATTTCCAGTCTAAGTGCTCCTTCACACCCAGTTAGGACTCAATCATCTCCCATCCCCAGATTGCATCGTCTTCCATCTCCTAGTAGGACTTTATCTGCACCATCCCTAATCTCAAAGACAATGCAGAGTCCACTCAGAGCATCATCAACTCCTTTCTCTTTATCAAGATGTAAAACAAGTCAAGTATCTGCAACTCCATCTGTTCTGAGCTATATTGTTGATGTTCATAAAGGGAAGAAGAGTGAGAACCATGTAGATAATGTTCATCAGCTACAGCTGCTATACAATAGGGATTTGCAGTGGCGCTTCGTAAATGCACTAGCACTGGATGCATTGTTCATTCAAAAAATAAGAACAGAGGTAGGAAAACTTGATGCATTTCAGTTCTAATGGCCTGAAATTCTGTATATTAATTCATGCCATTGTTAACTGATATTACTTATAAAAGAAACAAATGTGTCGTTCATTTCTTTAGATACTTGTAGATGATGCATTATGATTTATTTTTGTTAGAAGTAATATGAAACAGTTTATTTAGGTACATGGGAATATGGAGTCGTATAAACTATAAACTAATACCCCAGTGCACGCAATGCATGACCCAGAACGTGGAGTGACATAGTCAAATTCTACTGTAACATATTCTATAAAATCTAATTTGACATTAGATCTCAGTGCAAACCTGGTTGTTCTATAGCCTATAGACATCTAGATATGTTCAGAATTATAGCAGCCTTCAACTGGGATGGTTAAATGGCTTTGATTGGGCTGCCAGAATGCTTGACCTTCTAAATTCAACCGTGGAAATTCAATCCTCTGACTTCGCCATATCCGTGCTTCAGATACCTCTGACTTCGCCATATCCGTGCTTCAGATACATACTTTTTTAGGAGGCTTGGAGACACACAATTCCATTTCTGCAGTCTAGTTACTGGAGTTTGAGGGTGGAATGTAACAAAAAGAAAATAACCCCATATTGACTTTATCTTTGGACATTTGTGAATCAAAATTCAGTGTGCTTTTATTGGTTACATATGATTCCATTTATACTCTGAAAAATCTGGTTTTATTGGACATAGGCAGTTCATGACACTTTGCCCCCTTAATGAAACAGAATACACTATACAATGTCTGGGACACTACTGCAGTTTTGTGGGAATCTGTCACCCTTAAAAGAATCTGTATTCAACAACTGAAGCAAGAGATGAAGCTGAACTTAATTCTGAGAGAACAGGTAATGTATGGTCAGTATTTTTCTTTTTCTGGCTCATGAATGTACTTGATGAATGATTCTTCTGTTAGATAATTCTGTCCACGAGTCATGTCATTGTTAAAGTTCCAAATAACAATTATCAATTATTACTCTATATGTTGAAAATATTAACATATATTGCCTTAATTCCAAAATTATAAGAGAAAAAATTAATTCCAATGTTTACATACTCCTATTGTCACGACCCCAAATTCCAAACCTAAAAAGAATATTAGAGCCGGACTAAATCTGTGAAAAATCCTCCAAAATATGCATTCATTAAAAGACCATTAAAATAATCTCTTCATTGATCTAACACCAACAATAAATATTCTCTATAATCCAAAATGTCAATATTAATCCAATTAACTTGATATAACAAATATTCCTCAACTTGAAATAAAACTCGCCCTAAAGGAAAAATCTCATTATTACAAAACTCTCAATATCAACTAAGCATCAAGGACTTTATTCAATATTCACCTAGAAAATAATAACAGGCCTGAAATTTATTCCTTGCTCCATTCTATGAATTTGACAAATCCTCAATTCCACCTAATCCCGAGTCTCTGAAAAGAAACGAAAATAACACAACGAGTTCACAACTCAATAAGTGGATAAATTCATACATTATACACTGATTTTGCAAAACTAAAATATTTTGACAAGAGATAAATAAAATATAAGAATGATAGAGACTCATCAATGAAGTCTAGTACTTGATGCAAATATTTAAGAAAACTAAAAAAACATGGAATGGAAATAAGCAGGCTACATCTCAATGCGGTCAACACTTCATATTCCGGTTGACTTGGTAAACCCTATAATTATTAAGCCCGTGGATCCGGGACGGTGAGACCCAAGCTAGGCTCTTAGCGCTAAAATAAAAACCTCATAGAGACACATTGAGCCATGTTTTAATAGCTTGTTTATATCCGACATATACCGATATATTGACTCGAGATGCATATGTTTAAAAAAAAGAAAAATGAACAAAGTTCATATAACCAAGTATGTTATACAAAAATACCAAAGGCCAACCAATAGTGAAATCAATCAACCACATATGCATCTTAACCTACTACTATATGAAAATACATAATAATTGATTGAGAAAATAAGCATAAACTTATACCAAATAACCACGTGCATTCATCCAATCAACAATTAGTATGCAAGCAACCATACAAAGGGTATAATCCATCAGGAACAAACTTACATATAGTCAATATAATTTTATATGAAAAATACGCAGCGAATAATATACAAATTCACCACTTACAATAAATCCGAAGATAATCCGGCTAATCCTCACAATACTTCCTCGGAATTTTGTGGAATCCCTAAATACGACATACAAAATAATCATCAATATAGTCATCTCACTAATTATAATACATACACATATCAAATCATTTAATACGACTATAGTATAACAATAACTTAGTACCTCAATTGTTATAGCTTTGACATAATAATAATTTTTTTTAACAAATCATGACTGATCCACACAAGGAGACAAAAGAGCAATTTTGATTGCTCCATTTATGCAACGTGTAGGTATGTTGCTAAAATTAATTAGTGATGTTAAGATGAGGATTAAATAAAGGTAAAGCTTGGATTTGTTTGTCTACCTTTCCTCCCAGGTACGCACTCCCTCTTGAAGTTGATGTCCGGTTCCTTTTTTTTCTTTTTTTTTAAGAGGCCGAAGCGGAAGCCGCGGAACACATACGGGAAAGAAGAGAAGCGGCTGATGGAATTAGGAGTTGTGTAGGGTTTGTGGGGTATTTATAAAGGCTCTTTTTGCTATTAGAACCCTTTAATAACTTTTGCATAAAAATCCTTATACTTTTCCTTATATATATTTATCTAAAAACTTAAAATTATTACATACTACCCCTCTTAATAGAAGTTGTCCTTAAAACTTGGACATACCTGAGTCTTCAAATAAATTAGGATAATTTCCCTTCATCTCATCTTCGTGCTCCCAAGTAACTTCTTTAGTTGAATAATTTTTCCATAAAATCTTCACTAGCTTAACAATTCTTGACCTCAAAGCTTGCTCCTTTCGGTCCAAAATTCTAACTGAATACTCTGAATATGTCAAATCTTCCCTAATCCCAAGAGGCTCATAAATCAATACATGACTCGGATCAAGTACACACTTCCTCAGCATTGATACATGGAAAACATTATGAATTTTAGCCAACTCTGGAGGCAATGAAATTTTGTATGCTACAACTCCAACCCTCTCCAAAATCTCAAATGGTCCAATATATCTCGGACTCAACTTGCCCTTTCTTCCAAATCTCATCACTCCCTTAGTAGGTGATACTTTAAGAAAAATATGATCGTCGACTTCAAACTCCAACTTTCTTCTTCTATTATCAGCATAGTTCTTCTGCCTGCTTTGAGTTATACGAAGCCTCTCACGTATCAGTTGAATCTTCTCAGTAGTAATCTGCACTATCTCAGGACCGAGCAACCTTCTTTCTCCTACTTGATCCCAACAAATAGGTGATCTACATCTCCTACCATATAATGCTTCATAAGGGGACATATCAATACTGGAGTGATAGCTATTGTTATATGCAAACTCCACCAAAGGTAAATGTTTTTTCCCAGCTACCCTTCAAATCCAAAACACAAGCACGAAGCATATCCCCCAATATCTGAATAGTCCTCTCCGATTGCCCGTCCGTCTGCGGATGATAAGATGTGCTAAAACCCAATTGTGTTCCCAAGACATTATTCAGACCTTACCAAAATCTAGAACGAAATCTCGAATCTCTATCTGATATAGTAGTCACTGGTATCCTATGCAATCTCACAATCTCCTTAACATATAATTCAGCAAGCTTCTCAAGAGAATGAGTAATTTTACAAGGTAAGAAATGAGCCGATTTAGTAAGCCGATCAACAATCACCCATATAATGTCATTATCACTCTGACTCCTAGGAAAACCAGTCATAAAATCCATTGTTACCTCCTCCCACTTCTACACAGGAATTGGAAGAGGCTGAAGTAGTCCGTCAGGCTTCTGATGTTCAATCTTGACTTGTTGGCACATCAAACACCTAGATACAAATTCTGCAATATCCCGCTTCATATCATTCCACCAAAATGTTTTTCGCAAATCTCTATACATCTTCGTTGATCCAGGATGAATTGTATCGCCGAACAGTGCGTCTCCTCTAGGACTTCTTTCTTCAACTCCGGATTATTAGGTATACATAAGCGGTTTTTAAATCTCAAAGCTCCATCATGAACTACAAAATCATGTTGAAGTCCCTGTTCCACATCTGCTTTAATTTTTACAAGAACCGGATCATTACTTTGTGCAGCCACAAGCCTGTCAATCAAAGCAAGCTGAATTTTAAGATGAGCAAACATCACTCCAGATCCTCGAAGTCGAATATCAATATCAAGTCTCCTCAAGTCCTCCAGCATATGCTTCTGACTTGTGATCAAAGTGGCTACACTAGCATTGGACTTCCTACTCAAAGCATCAGCTACTACATTTACCTTACCAGGATGATAATGAATATTAAAGTCATAATCCTTCATTAGCTCCAACCATCGCCTTTGTCTCATATTTAACTCTTTAAGTGTGAAAATATATTTAAGGCTCTTATGATTTGTGTAGATGTCACAAGTCTTCCCGTACAAATAGTGTCGCCAAATCTTCAATGCAAAGATAACAGCAGCTAACTCCAAATCATGTGCTGGGTAGTTTTTTTCATAAGGTTTAAGTTGTCTGGATGCATATGCTACTACTTTCCCATTCTGCATAAGAACACAACCAAGGCCAATATGAGAAGCATCACTGTATATCACAAATCCACCTGATCCAGAAGGAATCGTGAGTATAGGTGCAGACACTAATCGATCCTTCAACTCCTGATAGCTCTGTTCACACTTCTCTGTCCAGTGAAACTTGACCCATTTCTGAGTCAATCGAGTCAAAGGTGCTGCGATGCAGGAAAATCCTTCAATAAATCTTCTATAGTAACCAGCTAATCCCAGGAAGCTTCGTATCTAGGTCACGGTGCTAGATCTCTTCCAATCAACAATTGCCTCTATCTTTGAAGGATCAACCGACACTCCTTCTTTAGAAATAACATGCCCCAAAAATGAGACACACTCTAACCAGAATTCACACTTCATCAACTTTGCATACAATTTGTGTTCCAAAAGTAATTGCAAAATAGTTCTTAAGGGTTCTTCATATTCCTCTCGGCTTCTAGAGTAGACCAAAATGTCATCAATAAAAACTACAAACTGGTCAAGAGTAGACCTGAACACCCTATTCATCAAATCCATAAAAACAGGTGGAGCATTTGTCAATCCAAATGGCATCACCAAGAATTCATAGTGTCCATATCTTATTCTAAATGCAGTCTTTGACACATCTTCAGGCTTAATCTTGAGCTGGTGATAACCAGACCGAAGGTCAATTTTTGAGAACACCTGGGCGCCCTTCAACTGATCAAATAAATTATCAATCCGAGGCAAATGATGTTTGTTCTTCACAGTCACCCTGTTCAATTCTCGGTAATCTATACAAAGCCTCATACTCGCATCTTTTTTCTTCACAAAAAGTATTGGAGCACCCCAAGTAGATACACTCGGCCTGATGAAGCCCTTATCTAACAACTCCTGTAATTAAGTCTTTAACTCCCTCGTCTCTACTGGTGCCATTCGATAAGGTGCTTTTGAGATTGGCCCTATTCCTGGAATTAAATCAATAGCAAACTCAATCTTCTTGTCAGGTGGTAGCCCTGCCAAGTCTTCAGGAAAAACCTCAGGGTATTCTCGAACAATTGGAATTTTATCCAAAATGATTTCCTTCTCGGTACAAACTACACTAGCAAGATAACCCTGACAACCTTTTCTTAGAAGTCTACAAGCTCACATAGCTGAAATAACACATGGAGGTACACTAACACCCGTCCCCTCGAAACAAAACTCGGACTCCCCAAGAATTCTGAATGAAACTCGCTTATGAAAACAATCTAGATATCCATGATAAGTAGAGAGCCAATCCATTCCAAGAATAACATCAAAATCATGAATATCAAGTAACACAAGATTCACAAGCATTGTTCGATCTCCCACTACAACCTCACATCCCTTAAAGATGTGATTAGTGATCATACAATCGCCAAATGGGGTGAAAACTGATAGTTCAGATTCTAAAAATTCTGGAGTTCTGCCCAACTTACTAGCAAAACTATGAGATATAAATGAATGAGAAGAACCAGAATCAAACAACACATGTGCGAGCTTAGAGGAAATAACGAGTGCATCTGTAACGACAGAGTTAGATGCGAGATCATCATGTTTCGTCAAAGCAAATACTCTCCCTTGTGCCTTAGATTTTTTACCATCATTAGGTGTAGGCTTCACTTTCTGATCATCAGTCTTGGTTCCCTTCTTTGCTGGACAATCTCTCATAATATGGCCCTATTGGCCACACTCAAAACAACCTCGGAATAAAGAACAAGCACGGCCTTTGTGATTTTTGCCGCATTTATAACACTGTCCATCATGTCTCTGAATAGGAGGACCTGTCCTCTGCACAAATTGCCCCGATCTCTGCACTGGAGCTCTTGACCCTCGAAATGTTGGCTTCTTAAAAGGCTTAAAAGTTTACATATCTTTTTGATTACTCTCGTCCCTTATCCGCTTCTTCTGATCCCAGTTCTTGTTTGGTTCATCTGTAATCTTTTCTTCCTTACTAGCTTTTTCAGCCCTTTTTGCTCGCTCCACTACCTCCTCAAAAGTCTTTGACATGACTATTGTGACCTTCTGATGGATTTCGGGCCTCAACACATTCTCAAACATCTCTATCTTATCAAATTCTTCTATAACTAGCTCAGGTGCATATCAAGATAATTCATTAAACTTAGCTTCATATTCTTCCACTGTCATGTCACCCTGCTGCAAATCCATAAGTTCTCTCTTCTTGCGAGATCGGACGTACAAGGAAAAATATTTGTCCCTGAATAATTTAACAAATCTGCTCTAAGGAATATCCTCCCCCTCAAGTGATAAACTAGCCTCCTTAGTTTCCCACCAGATCTCTGCATCTCCCTCTAGCATAAAGGTAGCATAAATAAAATTTTGCTCCTCTGAACATCCCAAGGCTCTGAAGTACTTCTCCATTTTCTTCAGCCATTCTTGTGCCACTGTTGGATCAGAACCTCCCTGAAAAGATGGTGAAGATATCTTCTTAAACTTTTCAAAGTCACTGCCAATAGGTTTAGTCTTTTTTTGTGTATTTAGTGCTTCGCTCAGCTTCTCAGTTGCCTTTGACTGTTTTTCAAGGATCTCTATTTACCTCTCCATAAAACCACTCTGCATTTCAATGGCGAGTCCTTCAACACCTCACTGAGCTCCAGTATTCCCTCTCGTAATCCTAGCAGTACGGGTAGCCATACCCCTACGAGTTCGGGGTCCTGATCTTCCCCTGACATTCCCATTAGGAGCCTTATTTGTAACATTTGGGGTCTTAATGTTTTGTTGACCTGTATCATCATTTCCACCAACCCTAGTCCGGGGACACCTACTCGATTGGGGTATACTTAAAGGAAGCGTAACCCCTGCATTAGCCTCAAGTCTAGGAGAAGACCTCTCTTGCCACGAGCCATCTCAATCTAACATTACCAAAAATAAATATGTTTAGTACAAAATATTCATCGTATTAATATTTATTAAATCAATTCATAACATATTCATCACAAGCATAAGTAATCAAATAATATTTTTTCATGAAATGCATACACTAGTCATACCTTAAACTACCCAGACTAAGTCTTTTACCTTTAAGACAACAAAACTAAAGAGACTACGTGATCCATGGTTCTAATCTTATATATTCCTATACCTGAAATTTGATCTAATAGTGTTCATGTTGTCCTCGATCACACTTTAAAATGAAAACATCAACTTTCATTTCTAGGCATCAAAATCCAATATATTTTTCTTTCATTACTTAATCATCTCCAAAATCAACTAGGACCTACAACCTAGGCTCTGATACCATTCTGTCACGACCCCAAATTCTAAACCTAAAAAGAATATTAGAGTCGGACTAAATCTGTGAAAAATCCTCCAAAATATGCATTCATTAAAAATTAAAAGACCATCAAAATAATCTCTTCATTGATCTAACACCAACAATAAATATTCTCTATAATCCAAAAAGTCAATATTAATCCAATTAATTTGATATAACAAATATTCCTCAACTTGAAATAAAACTCGACCTAAAGAAAAAATCTCATTATTACAAAACTCTCAATATCAACTAAGCATCAAGGACTTTATTTAACATTCACCTAGAAGATAATAACTAGACTGAAATTTATTCCTTGCTCCATTCTATGAATTTGACAAATCCTCAATTCTACCTAATCCCGAGTCTCTGAAAACAAATGAAAATAACACAATGAGTTCACAACTCAATAAGTGGATAAATTCATACATTATATACTGGTTTTGTAAAACTAAAATATTTTGACAAGAGATAAACAAAATATAATAATGATAGAGACTCATCAATGAAGTCTAGTACTTGATGCAAATATTTAAGAAAACTAAAGAAACATGGAATGGAAATAAACATGCTACGTCTCAATGCGGTCAACACTTCATACTCCGATTGACTTGGTAAACCCCACAATTATTAAGCCTGTGGATCTGGGACGGAGAGACCCAAGCTTGGGCTCTTAACGCTAAAATAAAAACCTCATAGAGGCACATTGAGCCCTGTTTTAATAGCTTACTTATATCCGACATATACCGGTATATTGACTCGAGATGCATATGTTAAAAAAATGAAAAATGAACAAAGTTCATATAACCAAGTATGTTATACAAAAATGTCAAAGGCCAACCAATAGTGAAATCAATCAACCGCATATGCATCTCAACCTATTACTATATGAAAATACATAATAATTGACAGAGAAAATAAGCACAGGCTTATACCAAATAACCACGTGCATTCATCCAATCAATAATTAGTATGCAAGCAACCATACAAAGGGTATAATCCATCAGGGACAAACTTACATATAGTCAATATAATTTTATATGAAAAATACGCAAAGAATAATATACAAATTCACCACTTACAATAAATCCGAAGATAATCCGGCTACTCCTCACAATACTTCCTCGGAATTTTGTAGAATCCCTAAATACGGCATACAAAATAATCATCAATATAGTCATCTCACTAATTATAATACATACACATATCAAATCATTTAATACGACTATAGTATAACAACAACTTAGTACCTCAATTGTTATAGCTTTGACATAATAATAATTTTTTTTAACAAATCATGACTGATCCACACAAGGAGACAAAAGAGCAATTTTGATTGCTCCATTTATGCAACGTGTAGGTATGTTGCTAAAATTAATTAGTGATGTTAAGATGAGGATTAAATAAAGGTAAAGCTTGGATTTGTTTGTCTACCTTTCCTCCCAGGTACGCACTCCCTCTTGAAGTTGATGTCCGGTCCCTTTTTTAAGCCGCGGAACAGAGACGGGAAAGAAGAGAAGCGGCTGATGGAATTAGGAGTTGTATAGGGTTTGTGGGGTATTTATAAAGGCCCTTTTTGCTATTAGAACCCTCTAATAACTTTTGCATAAAAGTCCTTATACTTTTCCTTATATATATTTATCTAAAAACTTAGAATTATTACACCTATTATATACACCATCTTAATACTAAGCTGACAACTACTTTGTGTGACTATTGGGGAACCCTAAGGCAAAAACATGGACTAAAACAATATCGTATGTACATACATGCATACATGCATGAAAGCATGCATACATGCGCGCGCACATTCACATACATATAGAGTATAGACAGATACATATACATACCATTCATGGATTTCCGTCTTTCATCCACGTGAATATGCATGGTTTCGGGAAGGGTGATGAAATTTTTGATGATTCCCCTTTCAAGATGGAATTCCACATGTATAGTTCTAATAATCTATTTAAAATATGGATTGTAGTCTTTGTTTAGTGAGGGGATCTTTTGAAATACATTCGTCCAAAATAATAAATTTCCATTTTATTCTTATATAGAATACTACATAAATTAAAATTCAAAAGACTGTTTTGTGCACATATAATAAATTTTAAACTTTTGAACATGCATTGTCCTGCAGCTGATTTATCAATTCTTCTGTCTGTGATTCATATTAATTAACACTCAAATTATTTACATACGGACTCCTTTAACTTATCCTTTGGATATACAGTATTATGATAGATTTTCCTTTCTAAAAGCCAGTAATCCTTTATGGTGCAAAACACTTGTTGGAAGAGCCAAAGACTCATGGTATATTTCACCTTAATTTGTGATCAAGCTGTATTCTGCAAACTAATCCGAATCAGAATCAGAAGAAAAATGATGTCATTGCTTTTTGAATTTTTAAGCATCAAAATTATCTTTTTTTCTCTTGGGAAAAGCACTATTACAGCCTAAGGAAATATATCCTCGTTATTCAGAGCATCTTATGTACCTTGAGGCTCTAGAAGTCTACCGTTTTAAAGTGGCTACCTTGTACAAAGCATCAGGTTACATTGTTGACCCACTAGTTTAAGCTTTTGAGTAAGGTGATTATTTGACAGGTTTGTAACAGTTGCATTACCCATATTTGTTGCCTTCTTTATTTGTCTTATTCGTGTTCTAACCTTTCCTCCTATCTCATCATATGGTTCTTATCCTTCTCCTCCTTTCAGTTCATGATGTTTTTATTTATGTTTTAAATCAATAAATTTCCTGGGTATCTTGCTTGAGTTGCTCGGAAATCTGTAATAGGATCTTCTTAAAATTTAAGCTCAGTTATCTGAAGCTCTTGCGTGACATTCAATTTTCTGCAGACATCATATCTTGACGAATGGGCTGTATTGGATATGGATTACAATAATTCATTATCGGGGGCAATTGGAGCTTTGAAGGCAAGCACACTCCGACTTCCAGTTTCAGGGGGTGCAAGGGTATGATTGATTATCATGTGATCAGAAGCACAATGTAAAACATGAATTATCATTTTTATAATCATTCATGATAGGTTTTGGGAGAAGTTTATTAATTTTCATAGAAATGTTCTCAAGAGTTATGTCATTTTATGTTTGCCTCCTGCTTTTACAGGGTGATGCACATGCTGTGAAGCATGCTATTAGTTCGGCAGTTGATGTAATGCAAGTAATGGGATCTTCCATCTGCAACTTGCTATCAAAGGTGAGATTGGGCTCTGTTATTTTTTCACTCTCCGTTTCTGAAGTATTGAAGATTTAAGTATAGATATTATGCAAGAACTTTGGGTGGGAAATTTGTGGTTTTGAAATAGTAGTGATGAAAATATCATACATATGGAAGGGATGTTGGCTTTCTAGGGGAATTCCATGGATAATCTTTCCTTGTTGTCTCAGTTCTTTTTAATCTTCCAAGTATAGATATTATGCAAGAACTTTGGGTGAGGAAAATTTGGGTTTGAAATAGTAGTGATGAAAATATGATTACCCGTTAATAAAGGCAACTAAAAGAAAATGTGAGGTTCATGATAATTATTCCTAGACAACAGACCTTGACAATCACTTCCTCTTATTCTTCTGCTCCTTGTAATTATAACAGAGTCCTGAACATATTCGTAACTGTACACTGAGTCTATCATAATCTTTGAAGCGACAACATTTCTAGTTATTATAGTTTGGGCTTTCTTAAAAAACCTGCCTTACCTACTGTGGCTTCATGTTTTCCACACAATTCTAGCATTAAATTAGTTGGATCATTTGCTTAGATTCCACTAGAAGTTTGTCTGATCTTTACTATTCATTGCAAGCACTATCAAGTTACTTCAATGAACTTGCACTGAAAAATATGTGCCTGATGGCGTGGTTTCCAATGGTCTGTATCATATGATATACTATATGGTGTCTGAGTAACATAATATTAAATTCTGAACCTGCATGGACTAACTTGATGGCCAAGTGTATAAGCTGGTACCTGTCTATAGTAAAGCAAAAGCAAATATTGATGGAAAAAGCAGAAGCCTCTCCACATTATAAGCTGGTACCTGTCTATAGTAAAGCAAAAGCAAATATTGATGGAAAAAGCAGAAGCCTCTCCACATCATTACCAACATAGGTATCTTGGCTTTTTAAGTCATGATAAGAACAAGTTGTAAAACCTCAAGTCTAGATTTGCTGTTTTCATTGCCTAGTCCATCACTAATTGCATTTACTAAATAATCACATATAATCTAGGTACTTGAACTCACATGTAACTGAAATTCTGTGACACTAGGTAACTCCCATGTAGCTGAAATTCTGTGACACTGGGACTTAATTGAGCTTGAATAAGCTTTCAAGTTGGCCTTTTAATAGACATGTTAAAATAAGTGTTCGTATGGATTTTTCGCTTTTAGTTTTACACTCTTCTTCCTAGTCAGCTTTAGTTCTTGATTAATTGCTCAAATTTATATTTCTAACTTGTCTCCTTCCTGATACATAGTAGATATGTATAATTTGGGTTTCATAACACTTGGATTGAGTAAATAACCGATTTTTATGAATTAACTAGTCTTTGATTTGTCTAGTGAAATCGATTCAAATTCAGTATGCCTTTCCAGAAAATGCTGAATTATAGTTGTAGCTGGGTGTTTGCGGTCTCAAATTTTGTAATATGACTCAGATCATATATTTCGCAGGTAGAAAGTACGGGAGTGCTTGTGTCTGAACTTGCGGCTGTTGCAGCAAAAGAGAGAGCCATGCTTGACGAATGCAGAGAACTACTAGCTTCAACAACGGGAATGCAGGTAGAAATATAGTTGTATTTGTTTTGCATGCAGAAACCAAACATGTAGTTTCACATTGTAAGATGTGAAATATTGTTCTAATATTTTTAGCTGGAACAAGGATTACACCCCATCAATATTGCTATCAACTCGATTCCATGGACCTACCATCTAACTTCAAACCTAACTATCTATTCATGGCCGGCAGTTTGATTTAGGTGTGAAATACTACCTTGCTCATCGTCATTGTAATTATGTAGAGTATTACATATCACATTGTACATGACTGCCTTTACTAAGAATTGTGCAATTAGAACTGCTCGAGTCTCTCTGAAAATGGGAAAAGGGCATAATTACATTGTATTGTCCCTCAAACTTTTTTGAAAGGTGTATTGTATTAGAGTTCGTTGCTTCTCATTTTGTATTTGCTGAAATCAGTATCCAGCTCACTAGTTTCAAAAGCTACTTGCAAAAGACACAATCTCTAAAATAATCTCCTCCTATTTTTGGTCACCAAACAGCTCTACTAGCTTATTGACCAAGTCAATAAGACACAAGCTCTTAGATAAGACACTTTTTTTGGTTGCCAAACAGTGCCATAATACTACAATTTATAGCTGAAGCTGATGATCTATTGTCAACAGGTTCAAGAATACAGCCTCAGAACACAACTCATACAACTGAAACAGAGAGATCGTAAGGTTCTATAGCGACCGTGGACTCATACAGTTGAAGCCAAGAAGTTTACAAGGGGGCCGTGACATTTTCTCGACCCGCGCCCTCTCTCATTGCTAACAACTTACATCTTTTAAAGTAAATACATGTTTGTGCAGTGAGTGTAAATTCGTTTTACCATGGTGGGAGATTATTCTTCCAGATCCTAATGTAATTTTTGTACTACTCACAAACAAAAAGAAGAGAAAAGAAAATAGGAAGGAAGTAAAGGGGATAGAAGCATTGTGCACTTGGTGTTACTAACTACTCATCATCAGTAACAGCTTCAGTTTGGCAGGAAAGCCATGATCACTGAGTATAAGTAAAATTGAAGCTTTAAGGGATATACCTTCATGACCACAATGTTCTCGTTTTGCTTTGTAATTTGCTATGATATTTTGCTTCTGACTTTGAAGAATTTGGCTGGGCATGATGATGTCCTCCCCAAATACCATTGATTCAATTACCTGTACAAATGAACTTTTCCTTTTTTTTTGGTGATAAGCTCAGCTGATTACTGTTGCGTCTTATGGGTTGTAAACTTGTAATGGTTTGCTGGGGACTATGGAGCACACAAATAACCACACACACTAAGGGGTTGTAAACTTGTAATGGTTTGCTGGGGACTATGGAGCACACAAATAACCACACACACTAAGGAGTGTAAGCACCAACAACGCAGAGTATTTTATGTGGTTCGATCAGATGTGCCTACATCCACTGTCCCTCAAGTGGGATATCCACAATGTTCACAAACCAATATGCGGTGCAGCAAATACAAGCAATACAAGTTTTGCATGGAAGAAACTTGAAACCCCTCACACATCTCACATCTTTCAAGGAATATGAGAATACCGATCACTCAAGATCTTCAATAGACCATTATCACACTACACAAAAAGAACCCGAGAACACCAATCACTCAAAAGTTATAAGGGAAGGCTCCCTCTCACTTGGAGGATGACATTCTCGAACACAACCATTAATAGAATGGCACAATATAAGAGGATGGTGCTTGACAAGAAGGGTATGAAGAAAATTGCTGACTTCGAAAAACATATTTTTCTTGAGGAATGAAATGTTATTCTAGAGAAAGCTGAAAGTTTAGCTTACCATATGCAGGCTATACACCAAGTGTGTCATGCAAGCCAGTTGCAAAACGTAAGCTGACATACAGGATGCGCCAGCTAAGGAAGAACCTAGGCCTAACAAGAAGGATTGGCGAGGGAATAAGGTGGGAAAGAAGGGGAAAGTCAAAATGGCAAGCCACAACAGTGGGAAATTGGGATACTTTACACGTGAACGCATGCATCAAGAAGGCACTCACCCCATCCTTAAATGATGCATTAGTTTGCGGTCTAATTTTTTTTTTTTTTTTTTTTTTTTTTTTTTCTTTATTTTTTTTTTTTTTTTTTTTTTGACTTCTACTGATTCTCCTCATTTGTCAGTTGCAAACTCAGGATGCTCAAACCATGTAGTCCGGGAACTAGCATAGATTTGTGGAGTGTTATAGCATTTTGATAGAAAATGAGCAACTCTTCAAGGGAAAGAATATGGAAACACTTGGCCTTCTTCCCAAAGTCTTGCATGTTCAAAAGAATAGGTGAAATTCTTTTAGTGTTTGGGGTATTGCATTTTGGTTATGATGTTCATTTTTAATAAAAATATTTTATTATTATGGGACATAATTGCCACAATATTGGACAGCCTTTGAGACGATTTATTTTTCGTTGATGTGAACAATTTTGTTACAAAATACATGTAGGCTGTCTAAAAATCACAACAGATAGCTAACCCCTATCAAACTTTAATCAACATCCCGACAATGAAAGTTACAATCAGACGACTTTCACGTCAACAAAACGAAAGCTGCAATTGGAGGATTTTTATGTAGATTGAGAAATGTTATAATTCAACGACCTTCACGACGACTGGTGAATGCTCTGATTCAATAGCCTTCACAATCAACTGTGAGAGTTACAATCTGATAACTCTCATATCCCAAAGAGCTAAAGCAAAGATTACAGAACAACGGTCTTTACAAACGCTCTAATAGAGGAGGTTACAAGTCAATAACCACTTCTAAACGCAGAGTTCACCTCTGCGTTCAATTTTCAAAACATAGGCGGCCCCTACGTTTTCAATCTTCAGCAGACGCCCAACTCTGCGTCTCAAGCCTAAGACGCAGAGTTAGGGCCCAGAACGTCGACCTTGGCATTTGACTCGTTCAAACACGAGCTAAACGGTTTCAAAACTATTTTCCCCACGATTTGTGGGAATCTCGCTCACTTAGGAGCGGGTTGTTGGGAATTTAACGCCGAAATCCCTAATGCAACGGAAACGCAGAATAGAGAACAGTACACAAGATTTACGAGGTTCGGCAACTGCCTACGTCCTCGGGAGCCACACAGTCAATTTCTTATTTAATCTAACAAGAAATTACAAATCAAGAGCAAATCTCTAAACTGAGATTCCTCAAATGAACACTGTAGCTACAGTGTTAATACCCACTATAAAATCCCCTTTTCTCTCTCTTCTTAAATCCTTTCTTTATCTCCCCTCAAAACTGTTGAGAGTTGGAGATCAAAAGGGAAAATCGCTGCTGCGATTTTAGGAGATGAATGCTGCTGCGTTAAAGGGGGATCCGCCGCCAGAGAAAAGTCGGGGAGGAGGAGCAACATCGAACCCTAGGACCGGGGTTTGCTTTTATAGGGGATTACGATGGGCTGGCGACAGCCTGTCGCCAGCGGATAAGCCCGACGCGAGGGTCGGAGTGCTTCGAACTCGTCGGAGCTCGTCGGAGCTCCTCTTCGCCGGACGGAGGTTGGTATCCACCCTCAAACTAACAATCTCCCACTTGGAGACCAAACCGACGTCAACAGCCTATCTCATCGAACTCCTCTCCTGTGTGGCTCCGCCTTCATCATCTATGCATGAAGGCCAACTGAAGTTGCACACAACTCCAGTTTCTGAAAGGTCGCTGCCTTTGTCAACATATCCGCTGGATACTTTCTTCCTTGGATATTCTGTTGAAATCTTTTGACAACTCGTCGGGCTCTGTATCTTCTGGAACCATTCTGCACCTTTTTCACTCGATACACCCACTTGTTGTGACGTGCCTTCTTCCCCATGAGAAACTCAGCTAGTCCCCATGACTGGTTGGAGATCAGAGATTTCTTCTCTTCTTTCGCAGCAAACTCCCACTTGCTCGCATCTCCACTCTGACAAGCTTCATCAAAGCTTTCAGACTCTCCTCCATTTGTCAGCAACATATAATTCATGTATCTGCTATTAGGCACAGGAAGACGAGTAGTTCTCCTTAATATCGGAGCTGGTGCGTCGGGCTCCTGCGCACCGTTCTGTCCAATAGGCTCTTCTGGCTGAGGACCTTCTGCATTGGGTTCTTCAGAGAGGTTATCTGGGACATCATCTGCATCTACAAATGTTAACTCGCTCTCTGAGTCACCGTCATCTGTCTTGTGCATGTCCTTGTACATCACCTTCTCGTTGAATGTCACATCTCTGCACCTGATCACCTTCTTGTTTTCGTTGTCCCAAATGCGGTAGCCGAACTCGTCTTCACCATACCCGATGAATGTGCATATCTTAGACTTGGGATCAGGCTCATTCCTGCCTTGATCACTTATATGCACATAAGCTACACAACCGAAAACTTTGAGATGTGAGAGGGTTACCTCCTTTCCGCACCATACCTCTTCTGGTATTCTGTGCTCCAATGGAACCGATGGACCTCGGTTGATCAAGTAAGCTACTGTGTTGACTGCTTCTACCCAGAACTGCTTCGGTAGACCTGACTGCATCCGAATGCTTCTGGCTCTCTCTGTCAACATTCTATTCATGCGCTCAGCCACATCATTGTGCTGAGGCGTGCCGGGCACGGTCCTCTCCATTCTGATACCGTGCTCATAGCAGAACTTCTTGAATCTGGTGTCTTCATACTCACCACCATTGTCTGTTCTGAGTTTCTTTACCCTCAAATCGGTTTCATTCTCGACCATGGCTTTCCATCTTCTGAAAGCCTTAGACACTTCTGACTTTTTCTTTAGAAAGTAGACCCATACTTTCCGAGAGTGATCATTAATAAAAGTCACGAAGTAGTGTTTCCCACCAATCGACGTGGTGGTTGTTGGTCCCCAAACATCTGAGTGAACAAGCTCTAGCTTCTGCTTCCTAAGGGGGCTGTCACTTGTCTGAAAGCTGACTCTCTTCTGCTTTCCAAGTATGCATTCTTCACACATATCAATCTCTACTGATTGTAAACCTGGGAGTTTTCCTTTTGTGTGCATAATCTTCATCCCCTTCTCACTCATATGACCGAGTCTCTGGTGCCACAGCTTTGAAGTCTCATTGCCTGCTGCAACTGAGATCGAATAACGTGCACCTGCTGTCATATACAGGGTACCGGTCTTCCTGCTTCTGGCAATCATCATTGCGCCCTTCGAAATCCTCCAGTCATCGCCATGGAAAGTCATCGTGTAGCCTTCACTAGCCAGCTGGCTTACTGAGATTAAGTTCCTCTTCAGGTCGGGAATATACCTGACATCCTTCAGCTCCCATACTGACCCATTCAGCTTAATCTTCACTACACCTTTGCCAATAATGGCACATGCTTGATCGTCACCAAGATATACATTTCCAAGGTTTCCGGGGATATACTTCTCGAGGAATTCTTTCTGAGAAGTAGCATGGAATGATGCTCCTGAGTCCAACACCCAAGACTCCTCCTTGCTCTCCAAAGATCATATCAGCGCATCATCTCCTCCTGAGGTGGAGGCAACGTTCACATCTGCATTTGCCTCCCACTCCTCCCGTGCACTCCTGCACTGATTCTTGTAGTGCCCGGTTTTCCCGCACTTCCAACACTCGATAGCCTTCGAACTGTTGGGATTTCTGGATTTGGATCTCCTATCATCTGATCCATTTCCTTCGGTTGAACTTCTACCTCTTGACTCTGTATGCAATACTGAATAGGTTGTAGCTTCACCCGACTCTCTCCGTCGGATCTCCTCACTGAGAACCAGATCACGAACGTCGTCAAACTTCAACTTATTGCTTCCCGATGAGCTACTCACAGCTGTGACCGTAGCGTTCCAACTCTCTGGTAGGGAAGACAAAAGGATCAACGCTCGAACTTCCTCATCAAACTCAATATCAACTGAACTCAATTGGGTCGTGACTGTATTGAGTTCATTGAGATGATGTGCTACCGATGCACCTTCCGCCATTCGCAGATTAAACAACCGCCTCATCAAATGGACTTTATTTGAGGCTGATGGCTTCTCATACATATTGGAGAGTGCTGCCATAAGATCTGCCGTGGTCTTCTCCTTTGCAATGTTAAAAGCAACATTGCGGGTTAACGTCAAACGAATAACCCCGAGGGCTTTTCTGTCCAGAAGATTCCAATCTTCTTCCTTCATACCCTCCGGCTTCTTCCCCGAGAGAGGTTGATACAGATTTTTCTGATACA